TGAAATTTTGAACTTTTGTTCTTGCGCTCACCACCATCATTACGGAGAGAGTAGAGGGTGGATGGGCAGATGGGAATGTTCATTAGAGATGATGGAGAATTACAAACCATGACAGTGTCAGATGGGTATCATGTTATATCCATGTGGCTAGACAAAAGTAAACTCACTGACTTGTTGCTGTCCAGACAAGTGGCAGTTTCAGAAGAAAAGCGGCAGGGCTTGGATCTTCTGGTGTTCCTGAAAGGACACTAGCACACTTGAACATATGACTCAGGAAGGCTTTGCCTTTCTCCCCAGTCCCTCTGCCCTGCTAAAAACACTGTTAGATTATATTCCTGAAGCTACACCCCATCAAGGTCTCTTTCCCCTTGGCCACTTCCTCTTTCTGATGACTACCAAGGTCCAGATATCAAAGTATTGAAATCCAGCAATAAAAAGTCCCCTCTGGCTCACCTAATTAACCTGCCAAATCAAAATTAGACACCTCATCCTAATGTGGGTTTGCCCTTGTACCTTTATAAATTACAGCATTTTCCTATGTGCCATGTCTGTGTCTCCTCTATTCAGAAGTATTCCTTTGTTAGTCCTCCAGGACAAATACCTCTGCCCCTTTCCCTGTTCCCTTCCCTTTCTCCCTTTTCCTCTATCTCCCATCTTTGTCCCTTATCCCTGCCCTGTGTACCTCAGGGCCAATCAATCTCCTTAGTGCTGAGAACTTGGTCTTGGGGTCCTGAGCTGATACTTTCCCTTTCAGTCCCAACCCCAGCAACTCAGAATGTGATATTTTTTTCTCGAACAAATGCAACATACATAATCAGTACCAGTGTTACTTCAGTATGAGTAATGTTTTCATAAAAGAGGAAATATGCACACAGACATGTACACAAGGAGAGGATTATGGACTGAAGGACTCATTAGACTGGCTTTCAGGGTATGGTCTGGGTAGTGGAGCTGTGGCTGTCTCACAATGGAAAGGCAAGGATGGAAAGCCCGGGAATCTGGTAATTGTTCAGTCTGGGAGGTTGGGTATCTCTTCAGCCACTATCTGTTGATGAAGCCCTGGAGGATTCCTGCAGAACTTGGAGTTTTTTCAGTCTGCATAGGAATCCTGACAATGTTTGAGTTAATACAGGCCACAACAGAATACATGAGCTTGTCGACGAGAGTGAGGGTAAGCGGGCAGAAAGCAAGCCTCCTTCTATGTCATCTCAGCTGCCATCAGACAGTGTGGTTCAGGTTAGAATGGATTTCACTTCTTCAAATGATCTGATTAAGAAAATCCCCAAGAGGAGTGGTTCAGCAACATGCCTTTCAGTTGATTTCAGATGTAGTCAATTTGACAGCTAAGATTAGCCATCACATACATTCTCTCCAAAAAGCTCAAAGGAATCAGTGCCTGAGCTCCCTCAACACATGGATCTAGGACTTTAGCCTCCAGATCTGTGAGACATTGCATTTCTGTGGTTTAAGCTGGCTAGCATCCAGTGTTTTGTTACAGCACTCTGGAGGACCAGTTCAAAGGTACTACAGTAATACAAAGGAGGTAGACATTTCTAGACAAGACTTCAGGTGGCAAGAGAAGGCAGCTGTGTAGAACATGTCCAGGCAACTTTTCTATGACCAAAGTTTCTCTTAGATCTGGTCCTACGACGAGCTCTACCATCATGTACAGTAGGCATCAGGAACAGCCCACCAAGTTCTGAGAATGAACAAGAGAGGGACTTGGCAGATGGAATCTTAAGAAAAAACATATGGTAGCATCCGATCCTCTGGACTATTTGAAAGGCATATTGCTGCCAGACCTAAGTCCACAGGAATGTTATAGCAAGTCTGAAGAATTGTAGCTGCAAAGGAAATTAGGCAAACTTTAGCTTCTTTATGCTACCTTTTGCCTTGCCCCTTTCCCCTTAGCCTTCAGATGATCAAAAGTAGTTCAATGATCTAATTCACACACATACCAGGCTCCAGGGGAGGGGTAAGATTAGATTATTGTCCTCAAATGCTTCTAACATAGCTAGGAAATGAAGTGTCTGTTAATTTTTTTGTTGTTGTTGTTGTTGCTATAACAAAATACCTGAGGCTGGGTGAATGATAAGACATTAATTTATCTGGCTCACAAGATTGGTCATTGAACTTCATGGTGCTAGACTGCTGTTAGTATTCTGGGAAGAACTCTTGGCTGCCCTTCAACATGAAAGAGGGGAAGAAAGGACATGTAAGAATCCCAGCACCCACATGGCAGCTAACAACTGTCTCTAACTCCAGTTCTAGGAGATCTGATACTCTCATACAGATATACATGCAGGTAAAACACCAATGCAAATGAAATAAAAATAAATATTAAAAAAAAAGAAAATGTGTCGGCTAGATTATCAGGGACTTGGAGAGAGCATGATTGAAAAATTGGAGAGAAAGACATCTGGGGAGGAAGTATGTGGATAGATCTCTCCACATGGGCAAAGGGTGTGAAGATACTTATTTTCCATGTAAATGCTAATCACAAGGTGGCTTCAGCTGAGGAGGAGGTCAGTAATCAGGAAGAGAGAATGATCTGTTCTGTGGACACATTTTCCCTGTCATTGCCCAATGAACATGTTTGGGCATACATAAATATATATAAAGCCAATATTTGCATTTTCTATTTCATTATGTGATATAATGTTGTAAATGTGTATATTGTCACATTTAAGTTATGAGACACTAAGGGACATCGTGACCCATTCTAAAATATGTAATATGTTTGCAGTTGTGCATGGGACAGTTATATCATGTTAGATAGAATTATGACCTGGTTATTGTTTTCTTTTGTAAATTAAGCGTAACATAAGGAGGTAGGATTATGTGTCAAATTGATAAGGGTGAACTTGTGATGGATAAACTTGGTTTTCAAGGAGACGGAGAGCAGCATTTTCAACTTGACTGCCTTTGAAATAAACTAAACCCCAGGCTGCTGGGTGCTCTACTGACCTACTGATGGATTTTCTTTCTTTTCCTTCCTTTTTTTTTTTTTTTTTTTTTTTTTTTTTGAGACAGGGTTTCTTTGTATTTCTTTGGAGCCTGTCCTGGAACTCACTTCACTCTCTAGACCAGGCTTGCCTAGAACTCATAGGCCAGCCCTTCCCAAGTGCTGGGATTAAAGGCGTGTGCTACCAATGCCTGGCTCCCTTTCTTCCTTTTTGAGACAGGATTTCACTATGTAGCTCTGGTTGTCCTGAATCTCCCTATGTAGACTGGGCTTGCTTGGCCTCAAACTCAGAGATAGACTGCCTCTGCCTCCCAAGTGCTGGGATTACAGTTGGGCTCCACCATGCCCAACATTTGAAGCACCCTGAATCTGGGCCACACCTGCTGCTGATAGCTCATATAATATGACATAGAAGAAAGAAACTTTGCTTTTTGCCTGCTCACTGTCTCTGGAAAGTTCATTTCTCTTGTTGCTGGAGGCTGTAAGTCTAGCCTCCCCAAGTCCCAACAAAGACCAAAAGCCAGGAAGCCTTCAGAACTGCAGCAACAGATTGAAACTGCAGAGGCATGCAGCCCTGTGGACTGAACAACTACTGGATTCTTAGCCATTCTACCATGAGACCACACCCATGCCTAAAATTAAATAGACACACATTCTGTTTTTCAGTTCTGGACATTTAGAGAAGTGTGACAGATATTCTTGATTGTTGGCTTGACTACATTTGGAATTAACTGGAATCTAGAAATAGAGGGCACACCTGTGAGGAATTTTTTTTTGGGGTGGGGGCTTGTTTTGAAGTGGGTGGGTCCAGATCTTTAAGGTAGGAAGGCATATGTCTTTGATCTGGATCTGGAGGCAGGAAGATACAACTTTAATCTGGGCCACACCTTCTGCTGGATGCTCTTTGCCTGCTTGCCCTCACATTGCTAGCACACGCATTCCATCGCTGGTATTAGAGCCTACTTCCCTGGGACTCCAGCATGCACTGAAGAGCAGAAGACACATAAGACACACAGCCACAAGGACTGAGCAGCTACTGGATTCTTGCACTTTCTCTTGAAGTATGTAAAGGAGAAGGGGGAGAGGCATATTTCATACATGTATATGAAACATATATGGAGAGGGATTCATTGCAGGAGTTCACATAGTCTAGAGAACCCTGACTGATACAGAGAACCCTTATGCATCCTGTGCACCCCCTCTCCCTTCTGGCTCCTCCTTTGTGAGGCTTGAGAGGCTGATTTACATTTTTGCTTCTAGTGCTTCAGGTTGATTTCCACATCAAAGACATCGCACCTTTTAAATTGAGTTGGGAAATGTTCCTTTTCTAGCCCCTAAAAGTGTCTGGGGGAAGTTTGAAATCATTTTTCTTTAATGTCTGATTAATTTAAAACGTGAGTGTGAGAAACAGCCAGGGCTTAGGCTACTTTTTTTTTTTTTTTTTGAAAGAGATTTCTGCCTCCTGGCCAATTTTAAAAAGCATGGCTTTATTTTGATTTTCCAATTTAGATACATTTACGTATTTTTGTGTCCGTGTACGCCGTGTGTAGGCTTGCTTGTGACACAGATTATGTGTGGAGGTCAGAGGACATGTAGGTTTCTGTTCTCTTCTACCACGTAGCTCCTGGGAATTGAACTTGGCCGCAAGGCTTAGCAGCAAGAGTCTCCACCCACAGAGCCAACTCACTGGGCCCAGATTGTTGTTTATCTTTTAAAGGAAATTGCTTATCTCCCAGGCTTCCCAGATTATGGACATGCAAGGTTCAGTGTAACTGGATTATGTTCCTGCACTCTAGTTTTCTTTTTCCCTGATGAAGCTTGGTTTTCCTCACTGAAGGAAGGTAGGAACCGGGTAGGACTTTCCGTCTTCGCCCCATCTTTATTTCAGCTGGGTTTTCTCCCTGATTTCCCCCACTTTAGACTTTTCCAAGCAGTTTCCCAGTCAGACTTCATCCTTGCCCCGCCCAGCCCCCAGCTGCCAGGCCCCGCCCCCAGGAGACCCGCCCTCCCCGAGGAACCGGAAGTGTGTTTCCGGAAGCCGGAAGCGAGCGAGCGGAGCGGACTCGGAGTCGCCGTGAGCTGCGTTCGAGGGTCGGGAAGCGCTGGCGATGGCGGAGAAGTTTGACCACCTGGAGGAGCACCTGGAGAAGTTCGTGGAGAACATTCGGCAGCTCGGCATCATCGTCAGCGACTTCCAGCCCAGCAGCCAGGCGGGGCTCAGCCAGAAACTGTGAGTGGCGGCGCGGCGGGCGAGCCGGGGTCCGCGCTGCTGTGCGGAGCCCCCGCCCGCGGCCCTGGGGACCCTGCTGGACCCATTGGGTTCATCCTGGGACTGCGGGACAGGGGCTCCATCCTGACTCCATATGGGTGGGTGTAGCTCCGCCCTGAATCCACTGGGAAGGAGGCTGGCATCACTGGGACCCTGCAGGCCAGGCTGTGACTACCCTGACACCACCGTACCCCACCCTGCCCCACCCCACCGCACCCCGCCCCATCCCACCGCACCCTGTCCCGCCTCACCGCGCCCCACCCCACTTCACCCCCATCCCACCCCATAGGAGCCCACCCCATCCCATCTAACCCACCACCCCAACCCACCCCATCCCACCCCATCCCACTCCACTGGGGAGGCTGACTCCACTCCTAGCCTAAGAGAACCATGCACCCGCTGCATAGGCGGGTGTGGAAGAAGACCACAGAGGGTTGATTTGATTTTTTTTTTTTTTTTTTTTTTTTTTTTTTTTTTAGCAATATCTTTGCTGGTCATGCAGCCAGGTTTTGGAATGGCGGACAGGAAAACACAAAATGTTCCAGAGAATACCTCACTGACGCCTAGGGGAAACACTCTCAGGCTTGGGGCGGTGAAGTGATGTTGGGTGGTTCTAGATTGTAGCTGAGGTTCAAACCGGGAGGGGTGGGTTTCTTCCTTGCAGACCACAGTGGGCGCTGTACTCAAAGCTGAAGCCAACAGCTCCCTGCTGCCTACCCCGAAATCCGTCTCAGCAGCATGTGTTCCAGAAACATGCCTTTGCCCTTTCTTTACCTTCATTCCAAGATTAGAAGGAAAATTATTAAGTTGAGGGCATTTGTCAAGTCCAAAGGGTGTCCCCAGAATCCTGTGAGCTGCCCAAGGTGAAGCCTGTTAAGGGGGCAGGGGTCTCCTAACTTCCCTCTGACGAAGCCACTGATCTTGGGGTAGAAAAGCTAACTTGAGGGCACAGGCACAGCAAGCAGTATTTAAGGTTCATCTAGCAGGCTGAAAGCCACCCCCAGCTGAGACTCATCCAGCTCAGTAGAAAGCCAAGGCCTGCCTCTAGTGTCTGCACCTGGAAATCTGCTGGAACCCCCACCCCCACGGTCTGCTAGCTGCAATGGGATACTGCCCTAGAAGTTATTCTTACCCACAGTTCAGTCTGTTAGAACCGAGTGCAAGGTTGTATCTAAAGCTGAGATGCTTACCCGAGTAGAGGGCAGTGGTATCTTGCACTCCTGCTCAGGGAGGCTTTGTGGGAGGCAAGCAAGCTGGAGCATTGTCTAAACCTGAGCCTGCTGAGACCCGCCTTACTGTTTTTCCCAGGACCCCATGTTTCTCATACCCAGCTGCCCCCTGGGTTATCCACCGCAGTGTCCCTGACCTTGCTGTTTTAACCACCACAGTGTGAAAACCAGTGGCCAGTGCTGTGTGTGGACTACGCTTGTTGTGTAATCTGAACTAACCACACACCCCACTCTGCCTTTTTCCCAGGAACTTTATTGTTACGGGCTTACAGGACATAGATAAGTGCAGACAGCAGCTGCATGATATCACCGTGCCTCTAGAAGTTTTTGAGTAAGTACCACTGTGGATCTCTGCCCGCTCTGAATCTGGGTTAGCTGTGCAAGTCAGTGTGCTGAGGGAGGCGTGGCCCTGGTGCTTTGGAACTGTGTGTGAGAGGAGCAGACAGGAATGCCTGTTTTCATGGGATGTAGTGGGGTTTAAAAAAGGCACTCCAGAGTTGTTGTTGGAAGCAGAGTCACATGAAAATGAGAAATTGAAAGCTTGTTAAATATATTAAAACAGGTTTCTGAGTTCAGTGGAGAAAAGCCCCAGGCCAAAGAAAAAGCTGGGCATTCATAAAGTAAAGAGCTGTGCCTGGGTGTGGTGGCACACAACTTTGATCCCAGCACTTAGGAGGAGGCCGCCGAGGCAGGCCGTTCTCATGAGTTTGAAGCCAGCCTGGTCGACAGAGTTTCAGGACAGCCAGGACTATATAAAACAAAACAAAACAAAACAGGAGTTGTGTGTGGGCTATATAATACAAAGAAAAGAAAAAGTGTACCTACAGACATCTGGAAAAAGCTTAGGAAGCTTCCTGTGGTGACCTGGGCCTGGGAGGTGGTCCCTCCTCTGTTGGGAGGAAGGAGAGGTAGCTATGGCTGGCCATCTTCCTACCGGAGTCCTGCAGACCTGTTGCAGTGGCCGGGAAGACAGTGAACTGCAAACTGCAAGGAGCAGGTGCCTTTGGTGTATTCACAGATGGGCTCTAAACACATTGTGGGAGGAATGCAGGCTCCCCTGGCCTTGATAGCACACACTTTGCTGGGCACATGGACTGTCCAGAGCAGGGATAAAATAAACTCAGCACTTCAGCCTAGTGTTGGCTCTGTATATCCACAGAGGTTGGGGTCAACTTCTGAGCCCCATTGTGGCTCCTCTGCTCCTCCCTTTAGCTTCCCCACGTAGCATGTCCTGAGCAGTGTCTGTCACAGTCCTGAGTGCCTGTATCACATTTAACTTGTTTATCATATAGGCTGCTAGAGGATCCAAAGTCTTTGTGTGTTCATTTGCTTCCTTCCTCCCTCCCTCCCTCCTTTCCTTCCTTCCTTCCTTCCTTCATTCCTTTATGAAAATGCATTGTGAATGGTGAGTGCTGACTATGTAAAGGGGCACAGCTTGTGATGCTTTCTGGGGTTCATAATGATTATTGATTCATGAACTGCTAGAAACAAAGGTGATTGCTTGGAGAAATTTGAGAATTTAAAAGAATCTGGTTTCTATACTGGCCCCATGAAGTCATCTCTACTGGATTGCGTGCGTGCGTGCTTCCAGAAAACTGAGGTTAGGTGGGTCAGCTGTGTGTTAACTGAGATTGAGATGTTGTTGTTTGCAGATACATTGATCAAGGTCGAAATCCCCAGCTCTACACCAAAGAGTGCCTGGAGAGGGCTCTTGCTAAAAATGAGCAAGTTAAGGGGAAGATTGACACAATGAAGGTAAGACAAAGGCAGTCATGTCTGTGTGCACCTACAAGAGCGCACCTAGCAAGCATGCAAACATGACTGATGGACTTTGCTGTTCTCTGTGGGCTGTTCATGGTGGCCACACAGTGGGGTTTCTGGCATGTGTAATAGTTCTGTTGAATGTCACTGAGCCACAGTCCATTGAAAAACACGGAAACAAATGAACAGTGATACATTTTGTCTTCTGATGTCCCTGGCCAGTGGGGCTTTCAGTGTGGCCTTCCTGTGGGTTCCCTTGGGTGACATCTAACATCGTGTGCCTGTTATTCTGTGTCCACCCTGACTGGAGGCCTTTTTTTCTATGCCAGTGGGCTGCAGGTGGAGGATTCTGGGAGGTTTATGTTGTCTCTAGTGTCTGGCCTCCAGGCCTAGAAACTCGGATGATACTCTCTGCAGCGAACTAGGCCACTTTGCCTCGATGAGATTTAGGGAGCTGTGTGTGGCCTTCAGTGAGAGCACTGTCTACTCGTGTTCTGGGCTCCCTGCTACCAGGCCCTGACTTGTGTCCTGTTCTCCTTTGCTGTTCATGTTCTGTTTGCACAGTGAGCCTTGCTGCCTCTCTCTCAGAGGCTCGCAGGTCTTCCTTTGAGTTTCTTCCCCCAGGCTGCTGGTTGGGCTGCCCATTTTTCTTTGTCTGCCCACTGTCCACTCTGCATGCTAGTTAAGTTCCCGTATCGTATGTCTGCCCCATGCTGCTCGCTATCTGCTTGGTGTCAGCCGGGCACACATGTGCTGGTGTGTGTCTGCTGTGTCCAGGTGTTCAGAAGGCTCTAGCTGAGTGGCAGCAGTGAGGATGGGCTCTGTCAGAAGTGGGGGTGGGTCCACTTAGCCTTGAGCCCATACTTGCTGGATGCCCAGCAGAAATCCCCTCTGTGGATACAGTGACTGACCCTTGGGGTGTAGGCTTCCGGTCCCACCAGCATCTTAGGCTCACTGCCTTGGGCTGTGCTTGAGTGCACTGTGCATTGATGGGTGCCCGTGTGGCTAATCTCCCTTTTGCACCCGAGGCACTTGGTGTCATCTTTCACCTGAGATCTGTGACAGTCTCAAGGTAGACTATTGTAGCTTTCATGTCCCTAGTGGCCGTCAGTTAAAACTTGTGGAAACCTTTTTCAGTTTTTGTAGTGAGGTAGCTCGTGTCTCTCTGGCTTTGGCCTTGTGGCCTGGAGAATAGAGGCTTGGGGTGCAGACACATTGGACAACTTCGAAGACTGGGATAGCACAGATGTTAGGGGATGAGTGACTGGAGACCCATGGTGTTTGCAGTAGATGACATGTTTCCTGCGTTTAGGAAAGCTTTAGGAGGTGTTTGCACATGTAGCCTCCTGTGATTCCAGTGAGTGACCGCTCCAGTGAGTGTTATTTAAACTTGGGATGTGAGTGTGGCCAGCAGAAGTAATCTCCACTGTAGGGGAGCTCCTGGCTGGAGGGAGGGAGTTGTCTTAAAGATATAGTTCCCTTTCAGAGAGCCGGTGCCCCTGTAACACCTTAGCTAAATGCAGTCAGTCTTGTAATTGGCTCCATCCCTTTGGGTGGCCCAGTTGAAATTGTGGGATCCTTGGAGGAGTCGTGCTGTCTATAACTTGGAATTTCCTTGACACAGCTATTTTTGTTTGTAGAAATTTAAAAGCCTGCTGATTCAGGAACTTTCTAAAGTGTTTCCAGAAGACATGGCCAAGTATCGGAGCATTCGGGGGGAAGATCACCCACCTTCCTAAGTGTGTGAAGACCCCACATCTCTTTAATTACCGGGACTGATTCAGTGAGATGCTGTGCCTGCCGATGCTGCCTTCCAGCCATGGGAACTGGCCTTGTCCCTACCTCCTCCCATTATTTGACCTTGTGGGACTCTGGGACTGGAGGAGTAGAGCTGTGCTCCAGATGTCCCCTGCAGCTCTCAGACCCTTGGGTGGTCCCTTCTTTCCCCTCTAGGGAAAACAGACAGGAAGACAGCCTTGCTGAAATGTGACGTGAGATTGGGATTCTACTTGATATTTTCTTTTTATGTACTCTGTTCTGTTACAGTGTTATAAGACAATACTGGGTTTTATATTTTACATTTTCAGATGTGGTGCATAAGAATGCAACTGTTTTCATGAGTCTCAACTAGACACAATAAAGTCTAAGTTTTACAAGGCTAATTTTGTGAAATTATTTATGCAGCATTTTTACAAGGTAGAACAGCATGTCATGGGAATAGTCAACTGCTTATTTCCTCGTGTTATGATATTCATAAAACATTGTTTTCTTCAGGCATGTAGGTAGGAAATGCTAAATCCAGCTCGTTGTCCCCTTTCCCACAGTCTGTTCCTTACAGGCGTGTGCTAAAGAACACAGACTTCTCACAGTATTGGAAAGTGCTGTAGTGTGTGGACAGACCACAGGGAGTGTGCTACAGCTTCTGCTTCCCTTCAGTGGATCTGGGGCAGGCCAAGGCGGGAAGGGGGTGGCAGGCAGTGCATCTGGCTGTGTTTTTAAGGCTAGCTGCTGGTTAACTAGCTCCCCCCCACCCCTTTGTGATGCTGGGACTGCTTAGTGGGAGGGATCTGTAACAGCACCACAGACCAGGCATTTAAAAAGTGGAGGTGTATTCCACAGCTTGTGAAGGCACAGACAGACTTGTGTTCTCAGTAGGGAAAGATAAAGAGCAGTGTCTTGATTGCCCATCAGCAGTGGTTTAAATTACCATTTATTTTGGGTACAGGGGTGGGGAAGTGCATGTGCATTGACACAGATGGTCAGTGTGTAGCATGTCATAAGCATGTGCTTATTCAGGGCATACCATGTCATTAGCTTGTGCTTGTTCAGGAACTATTAATTGGGGTCTTTGTGTTGTGGGATGTGCCTGAGAGTTTCTCCCAGGCAGTCATCTGCCTAGTGTATGGCTGGCCACCTCTGGCCACCTCCAGGCTATGTTGTAGAAACTCCCAGTGCTGGCTTCCCCAGATCACCTGTCACTCACTACCCTTGCCTTGGGCAGGCTCTTTTCTCTCATGTTCCATTGTGGACCAAGGTTCCAGGTTTACACTAATCCACACGCCCTAAGTGCATCCTAACCATGTATCAACGGCTTCCCTCTTCTTTCAACAGGACACTTCCTCAGGAGACTGTACATAGGTCTCTACTCATAACTACTGGGCTCATCTGCACTCACACCGGGTTCCAGTGTTAGTTCACTTCTGTTAGTTCACTCAGGCCTGCTGGCCTGTCACTAACAGTGCCTACCCAAGTCCCACATGTTGAGCAGAGTCTCCATTCTCAGCTCACTCTCAGGTAGTTCCCCATTCCCTGTGTAACGTTTCCTTTATGACACTGGGATTATTGTATCGTCTAATAGTGTATCCAGTGTGCCCTGGGGTCATAAGGACCCTAACGATGTCCATGTCCTCATTCCATTAGCTGTAAAGAGGTTGCCTTACCTGGCAGAGGGTGAGAGGTAGCTATAAGGACCTGCTTGGGTTTCCAGATGTGCCCAGTGCAGCCACAGCGGTATACAAGAAGAAGAAATAAGAAGCTGAGAAATGAGAGGGCAGGGATGGCTGTAGATGCCGAGCGTCTGTGTTTGAAGAAGCAGCCACAAGCTAGGGAAGCACGAACCCCCTGGAAGCTGAAACAGGGAAAAAGTGTAGCCCTAAAGATACCTCAGTTTGCCAATCTCCAGAGCTGAGGGTACTGATTCCTGTGTGTGACAGCCACAGTAAGAAGTAACCTGTGCAAACTTGAGGTCAGGCAGCTGTGACAGGATGCAGTCTAGGCACTGGCCTTTGAAGATGTGCTTACATTTTTACTTGCTTGTAGTCTTTGTCATGGCTGAAGAGACACTGAGAACAAATGAAGGATTTTGATAGATCTGAAGGGATTTTCTTGTGCTTTTCTCATCTGAAGATTAGTAGGGTCTGGGGGGTTCTTGCACCCTGCCTGGAGGTAGCCTGGGATTACTTAGCAGCACGAACCTGGTACCTTTCACACTGACTCAGACCGCTTTGGAGGCCAGGCCCTCCTAATCAAGGCATGCCAGAACCATCTCTCTCTGTCACAGCTGCAGGTGTCCCCGAGTTTCATATGGCCTTCCTTGGGTCTCATAGGATGACCACTGTCATTGCACACAAAGTTTAATCCGGTCCATACATTTTAACATGACATCTGCAAAGATACTTTTATAAGTAAGGTCATGTTTAGATTTCAGGTGGACTAACTTCTGAGGGGCCACCACCCAGCCCACCACATTGCCCTCCTGGCAGCTCTGGCCATGCAGTGCCTGGCATTGGGGGCTTGTGTCCAGTCTCATTGTGATGTTGCTTATTTGTATTCTGTCATCAATCTGAGGACTTGGCCTGCCCATGCCACTGTCTGTCCTGTTCTTCCCAGAGCAGGTGGCTCAGGAGTTGAGAGGGATAGACCCAGGACATGAAAACATTTGTCTTGTCTTTGCTAGGAGCGAGGAAATACTGTGACGGCAATGATAGTCACAGCCTGAAAATGCAGATGGCCTTGACATACTCCTACCTGCTTGAAAACCTCATTACTGCATAGAGATAACGAGACCTGGTTTGGGCAGCTGAGCATGAACAGAATGCATCTAGAGAGCCTGTGGGGGAGGGGCACACAGAAGCACACTGGCCGCCATCCTAGCCAAGCCAAGATGCTCACACTGACCCTTCAGAAGGAAAAGCTTGTGTGTGAAGAATGGAATTCCCTCCTTGGAGGTGAATTAATGTCAAGGATCGCTCTGGTAAACACTGGTAAGGCTCAATAAACAGGCTCTGCCATGTTGATTTGAAAACAGTTTCAAAAGCCATGCATTAATGCATCAGTTCCTTTTGGTACATGCATGGTAAACACAGAGACGGGATGCAGACATGCATGTTATTTTAAACACGTTAGGCATGTGGGGAGAGATGGTGGAATCCAAGGGCCAACTGGCCCGGCTGCTGTCTGCACAGTTCTGTCCTCACAGGCAGATTCACTGTTCTACAGGGACAGATTTCCTGCATGTGTGCATATTTCAGCTCATGCACAGACCAAATGGAATAGCAGGTCCATCGCAAGGTCAGTTTCTGGTCCAGGAGTGTAGAAAGGATGTGGTGATTTTAAAAGAGCCTGGAAGGAAGAGGGTATAAATGTGGGTGCCCAGGCTCTGATCTCTCCCTCCCTCCCTCTCTCTCTCTCTCTCTCTCTCTCTCTCTCTCTCTCTGTGTGTGTATGTGTGGCTGGCTGGGAGGGCTGCATTTCCACACCACCCTGACCTCACTCTGACCTCCGGATTGTCTTTACTGTGCTCTGGAAGCTGGCCTGCAGGAGTTTCCCAGGTCAGGAGAATGAGGAGTGGCTTACTCCCCTGCAAACAGGTACAGGAAGCACATGTCCTCAAGAGCTGGGGAGGAGGCATTTAGCTCCTCTAAACTAGCCAGGGGTCTGCTGCTGTGGGTCCCCATGTCGACCTGCTTGGGTTCCCTGAGTGGGCACAGCTTGGGGCCAGCTCACTTGTTCTCCGGCTCACTTGAGTCCCCTAAAGCCTGTACAGTTGGCCTGGTCCTCACTACTGACCCCAATGCCCCTGCCTGCTGACTTTGGGCCTCGTCTCAGCTCCTGGCTTATGAGGCTCAGTCCTGATAGTGACACCCAGGAAAGTGACACTGGCTGTCATGCCTTGAGGAGGCTGAGCATTGCTACCAACTAACTTCTCAGAGGCCTTGAGGCTGTCTCACTAACTCTTCTCCATGGTAACAGGGCCAGTGGCACCTGTTACCCTTTGCCAGGCACCATGAGAGGGTGTGACACCTGTGACCCCATTAAACCCTCGGGCTACCCTAGGGTTCTCTCTTTCCTCACAGAGGTAGCCGGAGCCTAGACAGGGAAGGGGTGATTCCAGTTCACCTCAGGGGTGAACTGCAGGCTAGGTTTCTCTGTGGTTCAGATGGCCTGAGGTGAAAGGACCAAACACCTCCCTCACCTGACAGGAAGGAGGAGGGCCAGTGAGGGTGGCACACAGTGATGACGGGAGATGGGACACGGCCTGCTTGCCACAGGCTGTGGGCATCGTGGCTGGCAACTATGATCACTCGAATTTGAGTGAGTGCCACCTTCCTTTCAGTGTGGCTCACAGACATGTTAGACACAGCATTGGCTCTGGGAGGTGAGGGTGATGCTGTGTGGGACCCAAGGCAATGCCAACCTGAGCTGGTGCATAGGCCTTTGTGTAAGTTCCCCATCTCTCAGCACAAACTGCAAGGCGAGGAGGAGACAGACTGGCTGATGCTGTGCCGTGGATGCAGACAGTTGGGGTCACAGGAGTGCTGTGGTGGCTGCTGATTTTGTGACAAGCCTGCGATGATAATGAGGACAGGAAGGGTGACAGCCGGTGCCACTGAAGACGACAGGCCATTGTGAACGGGCTGAGAAGACAGGGGCCACTGATGGAATATTGATTCCTGGCTTTTGTTTACAAGCAGCGTTGTCTGGTTCAGAGTCAGCAGCAGCAGAGTGGTGGGGCCGCCACTGCGGGGGGGGGGGGGGCTGCCACGTTGATGGTCTCAGGCCCAGCTGCACCTCTGCTTTCCTGTGTGTGCTGCCCCCTGCCCTGCACTCCACTCTTCCTGGTTTGCTCCTGCAGTTGGTTCCTTGGGGGTTTGTGATTACAGCATTTCATGCAGCCCTTCTTCCTGTCCAGCAGTTAAGTTGGCCGTGTGACACAGGAGGGCCGGAGGACCCCTCTGCAGCTTTGTGGCTTGTTTGGAGATAGCGGTCTCAATATGACTTGAGCAGAGGTTGTCCACAGTAGATAGATTTAGGAGCATTATCTGTGGAGGACTGGGAGATGAGGAGTTTCATGTGGGGGCTTAAGGGGATGGCTCAGTGGGCGAAGTGCTGGCTGAGCAAGCAGGCCTGAGGACTGGAATGTCTAGCGCCTGGTGAGCGCAGTGACTGGTCTGTCTCAGAAGCAGAGACGGGGCTCCAGGGCAAGCTGGCTAGCAAGGCAGGCTGAGCTGACAAGCTCCTTGTCCAACCTTGCCTCAGTGAATGGGATGGAGAACATTCAGAGAAGATTCCCCATGCCAACCTCAGCCTATCTACAATCGGGCATACATGTGGGCATACACCTGCACACACACGTGAGCATGCACACACACACACATG